GATGAAGTGAGGAAACCAGCCACCCCCTCGGCCAAGCCAGCCAGCCGGCCAGAAAATGGAGGCCCCCAAACCTTTTTGATTCTCTTTCCGCCCTTCTTTGTTGCAGCATCGATGGGATCTTTGACGTCGCCTTGTACACCAACGCGCTGGTGTTTCCTGATGGCAGCATCACTTGGTTGCCCCCCGCCATTTATCAGAGCGTCTGCTCCGTTTTCGTCACCTACTTCCCTTTCGATTGGCAAAATTGCTCCATGGTCTTCCAGTGAGTCCCTCCGGGGTAGGGTGTGGGATGGGGAAGGAAGGAAGGAAGGAAGGAGCAGGCTGGGGAGAGAAGGAATCATCTGAGTTGCCTTCAAGATTTACTTGGTGGCCTTGGGAGAAGGTGTCCGGATTAAAGCATGGCCCTCAGCCACACATGATTACATCTGGCGTGGCTTTCCCATCAATCTGGTCTGACTTTCAAATCAATCTGGTCTGACTTTCCCATCAATCTGGTCTGACTTTCAAATCTGGTCTGACTTTCACATCAATCTGGTGTGACTGTCAAATCAATCTGGTGTGACTGTCAAATCTGGTCTGATTTTCACATCAATCTGGTGTGACTTTCAAATCAATCTGGTCTGACTTTCACATCAATCTGGTGTGACTTTCAAATCAATCTGGTCTGACTTTCACATCAATCTGATCTGATTTTGAAATCAATCTGGTCTGACTTTCACATCAATGTGCTGTGACTTTCACATCAATCTGGTGTGACTTTCAAATCAATCTAGTGTGACTTTCATATCAATCTGGTGTGACTTTCAAATCAATTGGGTGTTACTTTCACATCAATCTGGTCTGACTTTCAAATCTGGTGTGACTTTCACATCAATCTGGTCTGACTTTCACCAATCTGGTCTGACTTTCACATCAATCTGGTCTGACTTTCAAATCTGGTCTGACTTTCACATCAATCTGGTCTGACTTTCACATCAATCTAGTCCAGTGGTTCTCAACCTGTGGGTCGGGACCCCATTTGGGGTCGATCGACCATTTCATGGGGGTCGCCAAGCAAGGCTGTCCGCCATTATTTTTGTCCGCCATTTTTTTGTCCATTTTTCCCCCCTTTTCTGGCGGGTGCCTTACCTCCCTTGGGCTGGGCCAGCTGGTGGTCGGCCTGCTCCGTCTCTGCCGCTTGCCAGCTACGCCTCGGCCGGCGCAGGGGGCGGAACCACGCATGCGCGGCGCTCCCAGGCAGGGAAAGTCCTCGACTTACGACCGGTTGGGTAGTCCTCGACTTACGACCGGTTTAGCCCTCGACTTACGACCGGTTGGGGTCGTGGCATTAAAAAGGTTGAGAACCACTGATCTAGTCTGACTTTCAAATCTGGTCTGACTTTCACCTCAATCTGGTGTGACATTCACCTCAATCTGGTGTGACTTTCAAATCAATCTGGTGTGACTTTCAAATCTTGTCTGACTTTCACATCAATCTGGTGTGGCTTTCAGATCGTCCCTCCCACCCCTGCTTTCATGGATAGCTGTGGCCACATTCTTCATCAATTAAATGCACATAGTCCTCGACTTACAACAGTTCACTTAGTGATCATTCAAAGTTACAATGGCACTGAAAACAGTGACTTATGACCTTTTCACACTTACGATCGTTGCAGCATCCCCCGGGGTCACGTAATCCAAATTCAGAAGCTTGTCAACGGACTCGTATTTATGACGGTTGCAGTGTCCTGGGGGTCACACGATCCCCTTTTGCGACCTTCTGATAAGCAAAGTCCATGTGGGGGGAAGCCTGATTCGTTTAACGACTGGGTTCCTCACTTAACAACAGGAAAGGTCGTAAAGTGAGGCAAAACTCACTGAGCAAATGTCTCGCTTAGCCTCAGAAATTTGGGGATCAATTCTGGCCATTAAGTGAGGATTACCTGTAGATGAAATGACAGATTTACTCAATTTTATGACCATCGTGGAAGCTGCCAATTATGGCCCTAGGCCGCGAAGGTCGTAAAGTGGGCCCCCCCGTATAATCAATCCAGTTTTACAATCGTTTTTTTTTCAGCAGCTGTTTAGTGACTGTGAAGGTTGTTAAGTGAAACCACGGTTGGCTACAGGGCGTTTGTACCCCAAAAAACGGAAGGAAGGCCAGCTTTTAGGGAAAATGTCGTAAATTGGGGTTGTGGGATGCTGCAAGTTGGCGGGAAACGCGAGACGGTGGCCGAGGGCCCCACATGCACTCGTGTGACAATGGGAGGGCTGGCTGTTGAAATGTTGGAACTTTTGGGAAGTCCGTTGTACTTCTGAATGATCATAACTCAAGGACTACACAGAAATAGAAATGTAGAAATAGAAAAAATAGAAACAGAAATATAGAAGTGGAAATAATAGAAATAGACGTATAGAGAACAGAAACAGAAATGGAAATATAGATAATAGAAATTGAAATAGAAATAGAAATGCAGATCATAGAAATAGAAATATAACTCTTTATTGGCCAAGTGTGATTGGAAACACAGGGAATTCGTCTCCGGCACAGAAGCTCTGAGCGTACAAACAAGCAACGAGTGATCAATCCTGATTATAATAATAAAAAGAAAACATTCATCATAAATCATAAGATAATAATAATAATAATAATAAATCCTTCCGAACAATTGCTCCTGTCTTCACTAGATAGCTTCATGTCTAAGAAAATGGTTTCCAATATACTTTAGAGGTTAAAGGTTGGCGGGGTAACTTTTGGCAGGGATTGGCTGAGCTGCCCTGCTAACGTGGAAGTTCTGGTTGGGATTCCCTGGCTGCCACTGGCTGAGCGGTCCAGATCATAGAGAGAATTAGGCTGGGATTAGTGGAGGAGGAAGAGGAGGAGGAGG